CCGGCCCATTTGTTTGCTTCTTCTGAGCCCCTGCTCAGCTCTCTTACCTGGTAGTGCACAAAGCGCATGTCTCGGGAGTAGAGTGCAGCTGTCCACTGGCAGCTGTGGCCCAGGGGGATGGCTCTGGCCAGCTGCTCCAGCGTCCTCTGGTGGTGGGGGTAGAACTTGTGGGCCAAGGTCAGATGCAGCTGCTTGGTGCAAGGCTTCACGGAGCAGTCTGTGAAATCAGGGGAACACAGAGGGTGCCAGGGCACCGTTACCTAAATGCCTCCTACCTCTGACCTCCGTGCTTCCTCAACAAGGCAAGGGCTGTCAGAACTCAGAGCTCATTCGGCCCGCCCAGAACTCACATCATAAAGGAGATGGCTGGATCCCTGTAGATTTTTCCAGGAAGTAGGAAGGAGGAGGATGTGGAGATGTGGGTTCAGGGTCTTGGGGGCCTATCAGTTTGCAGGCTAGCTGCCCGAATGCACGGTTCAGATGCACAGAGGAAACGACTGCTCCATTCCCGGGCTGTGCGCGTTACCCAGTGGCCTGGACTCGCAGGCCCGAGCTCCAGTTCAGTGGCTTGTTTAATTTCAAGAAGAAAACTCTTTAGGCAACAAAACTATAAACCACACAGTATCTTTAAGGTTCACCTTGTTTTGGTGAAGCAGGAAGTCCTGGGAGTGGCTGAGCCTCACGTCTTTTTAGGTGTCCTCTGCCCCTGCGGTCCTAGCCCTCCCTGGTCTGCAAGGGGCTCTCGGGTCAGTGAGCAGAGCAGCTGGCATCACTCAAGCAGCCAGGATCTGATTTCAGTGGAGCCACAAAGTATTTTATGTCCTAGGGAGGCGGTCGGTGTCTTGACGGGAACAGCACAGACTTTGGTGTCGGATAGACCTAGTTTTAAGCCGTGCTGTGCCCCCTTTTGCAGGGCGACCTTGACCGAGCCTCTGGGCCTGACCCAGTTTCTGCTTCAGCAGCATTCGCTGGAGGACGGCAGCGCCTGCTTGCCAAGGCTGCAGTGGGAAATCAGCCTCCTAACTTCAAGTTTCCTGCTAGAGACGCTGGGTCAGTGCACAGAGGTCCCCTCCCCCACTCCACGGCAAGGCACTGACAAACAGGATCTGCTCATCCCCTAAAATAGGTCAAGGGTGATGCAAGTCTTTCCCTGGAGCCCCGAAGTTGGGGCCCACTGCTGTCTCCCACGTGAGAGGTGAGCCTTTAGAGGCAAATGGGAAGCTCCCACGGTCTCTAGGAAAGCCCGAGCACTGAAGCTGCGCAGCCCAGAGCGGCGTGAGTGTGTAGGTGGTGGGGAAATTCCTTTTCTGACTTTTGTTTTTAGCAGTCAGGGAGGACGGCCTTGCCATGTGAGTGAGTGTAGCCTGGTAAAGACCCACTGCCGGTTGCTGACGTCACAGTGAGTCACACCGACTTCTGAACGGGCCCCTGTGTTTCCTTCTCTCTGCGGACCTGTGCCTATGGGCACGTTTCACTGGGGAGGGCCAACGCAGGCAGAGTGCCTCATGCACTTGCCCCAAGAGGGACCTCGGCCACTTCAGAGCAGTGACTGGTCACTCATCACTGAGAGAGGCCTTCTACCCCCTCAGTGTCAGGCTGAGGGCATAGGGCATGGGCCATGGAAGGGCAGGACAGAGCCTGCTGAGGCTCAGGGCGTGGATGTGAGGTCAGTGCTGGCTCCCACAGGAAGTGGAGCTGCCCAGCATAAACCCAGCCAGCCAGAACAGAGCTGGGTTCAGGTCCCAGCTCCACCAGCCTGGTTAGGGGACTGGATTGGTTTCAAACAACAGACATTTATTTTCTCCTGTGTCTGGAGACTAGAGTTTCAAAATCAAGGTGTTGGCAGGGCTGTGCTCTCCCTGAAAGCTCCCGGGAAGGGTCCTTCCTGGCTTCTTCCAGTTTCCGGTGGCCCCAGGTATCCCTTGGCTTGTGGCTACATCACTCCAGTCTCTGCCTCGGTCAGCGCATGACTGAGACAAAACAGTGGACATGACTTGATTAAGGTCACGCCACTCATCCGTGTCTCTGTGCGGCCTCTACACTTCCCGGGACCCACCCTAATCCTGTGTGACCTCCTCCCAACCAGTCGCATCTGCACAGGCCCTATTCCCAACTGAGGTCACATTCTGAAGTTCCTGGTGGACATACATTTTTAGGGGATACCACTCCACACACCACAGTGACCTTGGGCAGGCACTTTACCCTTTTCAGCCTCAGTCTTTCTGTTTTTAAGATGCTGCCAGTGAGGTTCACTGGGGGAGGGCTTGGGTGTGAAAGAGCCATCATTTGATAAAGGAGACTAATCCACAAAGACCGGGGGTGACTTTCTACTTATCCAGCAGATTCGATCTCCAGACTCACAAGCTGCCATCTAAGTGGAAGCCCAGGATTCATGGATGGATTTACAGGCCAGGATCTGTGTTTCATGCATGTCTGAGGACAGAGACGGACACACTCCCGGGGAGAGAAAGTGGGGAGCCCTCCCACCAAGGCACTGCAGCCTCATCAGATTTCAGAGTTGACAAATCACGGCAATACTGAGTGCCTTCTGTGTCCTGGGAACTATGGTGGGATGGGCCACAGACTCAGGCAACACTGTTCTTGAAGAGTGAGAGCCCTCATTGTTTTGTAGAGAAAGAAAAAGAGACAGAGATAGTGGACATGACTTGATTAAGGTCACGCCACTCATCAGGGACACAGAAAAAAATCACGCCTTCTGACATCAAGTCCACAATCCTTTCCACTAAACCCCAGTGGTAGCTTTGGTCTCCAGACCAGGGCTGGTGTTCGGAGAGAAGGGAATTTTGATGATTCTCGATATGAGTCTACATAATCTTTCCCCGGAGAGGCCAAGGAGAGAGCACTAAGCTCATACTGAAAATACAGAAATAAGTCATGTAGGACTTGTGTGTCTCCCACTCAAGGCCGAGCAGGGGAGGCCCTGACTCCCTATGTGCCCCAGCCTCCAACCCCATCACGGTCACCCACTCAGGCTTGATGCTTGGCACACCCTTCTGGGGCACTTTCCCAGGCTGTTGGCATACAGCTAAGCATTTGAGAAACCACATAATGCGAATAAAGGTTATTCCCACCTAAAGAGAAGACCAAAGCTGGTCCGGAAGCTTTCTAACGGCTTACATTTTTGAAGGATGTAGTGGCTCACGAAGGGAGGCGCTAGTTTAATTGTTCAGCCTCAGGTTAAGGCCATGTCCAGGCACCTGGCTGAAAATCCAGAAGTGGGAACTGGAAGTGCCTGGGTGAGGACAGGTGCAGCCACTGAGCCTGGAAGAAAGCCCACCCAGCCATCCCACCGTTGCTGCTGGGCTCTGCCCCCCTGGAACCCACCCACGGAAATCCATGTGCCAGGAGCTCGTCCCTGCTGCACAGAGCTCACTCACCGTGAACCCGGCCCTGTGTTTGCCACTGGTCAGGGCTGCCCACCTGCTAAGAGAGATGCTTCCGTGGCGAAGGTCATCGCGAATTCCCGGATGATGTCTGCGGGGCTGCCGTTGACGAAGAAGCCGAGGTAGCTGATGGAGGAATGGAGAGCCAGGGGCACGGCCGTGGGGAAGGAGCCCAGGAGTCTGTCTCCAGCCCTCTTCAGTGCCTCATACAGGCACTCCACCCTCTGGTCTTCACACTAAGGGGACAGAGACAGAGCCTGTGTTTCCACACCTCTCATCAGAAGTCATCTATTGATTTAATTAATAACAATCAGGCAGCAATTCAAGTGAGATTCTTTTCTGTTCAAAGCACTGTAACATAATTTATTGCGTCCCTGTGTGTCTGAGGTTATGGATTTGTTCTATACCTGGACCTCGGTTTTTCAAATATTTCAGGTAAGTTTCTTTGCGGAATGGAGTCTCCTTTAGGTGCCCAGGTTAGAAATCCCCTGGTCCTTGAACTGCATCCCCTCCCTCCACCGCATGTGCTCGTCACCTGCCAGGCCCTTTCCTCAGTCCCATGGCCCACTGCTTTGCTCAGGTCTGCATGACTTGGCTTCTGGAGGTTTCTAGAAGACTCCAGGGCTGCCCAGGCACTGCTTAGAGCCTGTAGTGAGGGGGACTCAGCTGCACTTCCAGCTGTGGTGCTGCCGTCTTGTCCACGGCTGAGCACTGAGTCAGGTTCCACAGGGGCCTCCTCTAAGGACTGAGGCTCTGCCCTGCCTCCAACCCTCTCCTCCTCTTTTGCCTTCACCAGCAGTCTCTCCCCTGTGTGTCTCCTGCACTTGGAATTCTGCCTTGGGGTCTGCTCCCTGGAGGACCTGAGCCTGCACAGCCCCTGGCCTGGCCTCCATGATGGCCCCCATGTGGCTGTAGGACCCTCTTTCTGATGCAACTCCCACCCCTGAGGCCGCAGGCTCTCTGTCACCTGGAGAATCCCTCTCAAGGGTTCAGCCTGCCCACAGAGCCCGACAGGTGCTGGCCCAACAGCCTTGCCCATGGGGCTCCAACTACCATCCTCTAGCCAGACACAGCCTCTCCTGGCATCTGGGCTTGGTGTTGCCCACTGCCCTGGTCAGGCTGCTTCCTGGGCTTGAAGACCTTCCCAGTGCCATTGGCCACATCAGACCACAGGGGAAACCTGACACCACATCCTCCTGGCGGGAGATGACCTGATCCCTTCTCTTCCCAGCACCGGGCTGCCCTTGGAATTTTCCATAGTCCTTCTTACAAGCCCAAATATGAGGCCAGATCACAGTGTTTAATGCAGCTTCCACCTCCCTGTGGACAGGCCGGCCTGACGTTCCTCCCTGTCTATTTTGTCTGCAGCCCTCAACAGCACTCAACACAAAACCACCCAGTGAACCCATGTCCATTCCTGAATCCGTCTCACATTGTGTTTCTTCGCCTCGGATATGTAATTTTCAAGAATAGTCAGATTATAAATGTAGCTGTGATCAATATCACACTTCAGAAGATTAGTGTTTTCATTTTACAGCATCAAAGGTACACAGTGAGTCTCCGTTACGCTCTTCTGGCTGCGAGGGGAGCTCCACTAACCATGGCCAGGCCAGACCCAGGGTGAGGGACTGGGAGGAGCTGACAACAGAGGGAGGTGTGTGAGTGTGTGTGTGTCTGCCCATGTCTATATGTGTGTGTGTGTCTGTGTGTGTCTGCATGTGGGTATGTCTATGTGTGTCTGTGTGTCTGCGTATGTCTATATGTGTGTCTGTGTGTATGCATGTGTGTATCTGTGTGCATATGTGTGTATGTGGTGCTTATGTGTCTGTGCATGTGTATGTGTGTGTATCTAATGTGTGTCTCTGTGTGTGTGTCTGTGCCTCTCTGTGTGTGTCTGTGTGTGTCTATGTGCATGTATCTTTGTATTCCTGTGTATGTATATCTGTGTGTATCTGCGTGCATGTGTACCTATGTACATGTATGTGTGTCTGTGTGTGTCTGTGTATGTCTGTATCCATGTATATATGTATATATGTGTATGTCTGTGTGTATCTGTGTGTCTCTGTGTATGTCTGTATGCATGTATGTGTGTATATCTGTGTGTGCCGTGTGTATGTCTCTGTGTCTATCTGTGTGTGTCTGTGTGCCTATATCTGTCTGTATGCATGTATGTGTGTGTATCTGTGTGCATGTGTAAGTCTCTGTGTCAATCTGTGTGTGTCTATGTGTGTGAGCTATGTGTGTGTCTGTGTCTGTGTTTGTGTGTGTGTGCTTGTGCCTCAGTGGACTGGGGAAGGAGCTGGGGGCCAAGGCCTACCCTGATTTCTGAGCTGTGTCACACAACTTGGGCTGCCTTGCCTTTCCGCGTTAGCTCCAGAAGGTGAGCCAGAAGGAGTCTGCTTGTCACAAGTGCCATTGATGTCGATGTAGGGTGAAAACTCTCTCGGTTTGCCTGGGGATTTCCCAGGCTTAGTCTTGTGTTCGGGGAATCCCTGCAAGTCTCGGGCAATCTGGGGTGGTGGTTGGAGGCTTTGGAAGGTGCTGCTTCTCCTGGGACATCTTCCAGAAATCTTTTACCTGCAGAGGTTTGCATTCCTCCTTTCCATCCAGCACCGAGGGGCCTGGTGTTGGAATGGAGGGTTCCTTGGGCCCTGATGGAATCCCTTGAAATGGGTGGGACATATCGGTTTGCCAACAGCAGAGTTGGGGCCAGGCCGTGGTAGCGGAAGTGGGTGTGCCCTTCCTCAGGCCCCTCTGGTGGAGCTGAGGAGGGCAGTGGCTGTCTGTCCCTCCCTTCTCCTTATTTTCTCCTGAGCAGTCCCCACATCCTTCTTGCTTTCCCAGTGCCCCTGTGGAGCTGCCCGCTGGGCCATTTTGTGCCACTGTGGAGCTACCCACTGGGCCATTTCTTTCTGAATCAGAGGGCTGGTCCCTGAGACAGGGAAAAGTTTTGCATTTGGGGGTAACCAACAATCACCTGTCCTTGGAGTTGACTTATCACACATTTTGGAAGGGCCAACTCTGTTTTAGGGGCTGTGCTAGTTTCTGAGGGTGCAAAGATGAGTGAAGCATCTGCCTTCCCTTGAGGGACTCAGTCTGGTGAGGGATGCAGTGCTGCACTAGACACATGGCCCATATGATACAAAAGTGCCACTAGACACGTGAACAAGAAAATGGGCGGCAACTTCTTTTGCCTGGGGAGCTGGAGAAGACTCAAAAAGGGGAGAGGATAAATGAGTTGGGTTCTGAAGGATGAATAGGAGTTGACCAGATGAAGGCAAAAAGGAAAATAAAGGACTGCTCACATGAAGGTGCCAGCTAATGATGCAGTTCTGGACCATCCCATTTAAATAAGTCAACTTTGTCCCATCACGGCCTAGTTAGCATAGAAAAAATGCCTCCAGCTGTGGTGATGATGAGCATCGAAGGCACACTGGGTTGACTCACCGTGAAGAAGTCACAGAGTGTCACATGCGGGAAGACCTCATGAGCTCTGTTCTTTGCACACTGGCGCTTGCTCTCTCTCCAGAACTCTTGAAGTTTTTCCAGCAGGGGCCCCGTTGGACAGAGGAAAAGGGCATACTCCTGGGGGATGGGGTCATCTAGGGAAGGGTCATTGCCATGATCATGTAGCCTGCAACAGAGAGCAAGCCGGCTTCACCCACTGTCACAACAAAAAGATTTTTCCCCTTCGAGGACACACAAGAGAATGACAATGACAGCAATGCAGAATTATAGGGCACACTGAACACATCATATATGCTCATGACATAAATTAATCTCACAGCCATCCTACTGGTGGGAGGCACCTGCAGCAGGGCTGTGTGTGGCACAGACCTGGTCAGTGCCCGTGCTGCTCTCAGACCCACCTTAGTCTGATTCCAAAGTCAAAGGTGGAAAAAAATGAAAGGAAGTTGACATCAAGACCCAAAACCTGGTCTTCAAATGATCTGTAGGCCCAGCATCTCTTTGATGGTGTGGGAAAATTTTGTGGGAAAACCTCATATTTGTATTTTACCTCAAACTTCAAATTACGTATAAAAACCAAAACCAAAAACCTAGACAAAATTTAGGTAGCTACTACGTTTCTTTAGATTCAGACTGTTAGTTTGTTTTATTTTATGTTTGAGATGGAGCCTTGCTCTGTCACCCAGGCCGGAGTGCAGTGGCATGATCTCAGCTCACTGCAACCTCCGCCTCCCGGGTTCAAGCGATTTCCCTGCCTCAGCCTCCTGAGTAGCTGGGATTTCAGGCAGACAGTTATTTTAAATTAAAGGAAAAATGACGGATGACCCAACATAGGAGTTTTTTGTCACTAACAATAAAAATGAAAATAAAATAGCTCCGAGACAGCATTTTTCTCATCTGTCAAGTTAACAAAGATTTTTTAAAATAAAAAGTATAAAAGTTCTGCTCAATGTGCCAAAGGTGAAGCAGGACTTAAGGACAGACTTTTCAACTTTTATGTGAAGCAATTTGCCCATAGGTATTGAGAGTCTTAAAATGCCTACACCCTTTGAACTAATAATTCTACTTCCAGAAATTTCTCCTGAGGAAAGAGCATGAAGTACTGTATAGGCAAAACTTTACACGTGAAACATTTATTTAGGGTTATTTAGAATAAGAAAGAAGAAAAACTCCATAATTGATAGCAAATCTATTTATCGTGCATTCATGAGAAATCGTGCTTTTGAAGAATTTCTAAGTACTCAGCGAAGTGCTTGTGATATAATTTTCAATTTAGAAAGCAGTATTCAATCACTGAAGGAAACAGAACTTATGCAAGACCATATTCTCTTCAATAAAAATCACAAAGGAAGTTACCTGTCCTCCCCATCGTGATTCCTACCCTCCCCCTTTCCAGGGTTCAGCCCGGGGGTGAAGCTGCTTTGTTTTCTCTCAGAAAGTTAAGTAATGGACTTACAGATAGCACTTGTTTTACATAAATCATAAGCCGTTGTTCAAATTATTCTGCAACTGGCATTTTTCCTCCGCCATGTCTTTGCAATTAATCCCCGTTGATACACACATGTCTAGTGAAGTTCATCAGTGTGAATTTGTTAAAGGCTGTGTAATAGTTCATTGTGTACATATATAATGTTGCACTTGTTCATTCTCGCATTGATGAACATCTAAATTATTTTATTTTAAAACCATTTAATAACCCTGTAATCAAGATCTTCGTACATGTCTCTTTAGGCTCCTTGCGTTTCTACAGGGAATCTGCTTAGATCCTCAAGCAGGCTGGTGGGCTGTGCACATTGCCAGGGTTGGCAGACACCCAGCACTGCCTCCCTCAGTGACACCAGTGACGTGTGAGGCCCCCGCTTCCCTCATCCTCATCAATGCTTGGAGTTACCTTGTTTGCTCTAATGATATCTTAATTTGCCCCACCTCCCTGGTTACCAGTGAGAGGTTGGGGTGCTCTTGACTGAGTCTAGGGGACCCCAGTGCCTCCCTGTTTTTTGGTGGGTTTCCCAGTCTTATTGACTGGGTTGCAATGGGCAGGTGCTGGCCATGCCCCTCACAGCAGTGGGCTTGTTTCTGATTCAAAATTGGCAACTGGCTTCAGTGGGGTCTGTGAAGGCATTGCCCATTTTGCCGGTGGCCTACACTTTCTGGAGGAGGAGGAGCATCCCATTGGGAACTCTGCACGCTCAGAGGCCCAGGATCAGTAACTGCCCCCTGCTTTGGGGAGGGCTCCAGCCTCCAGGGACCTGGCTTTTGTTGTTTGATTTTCCCCGTGGCTATCTCAGGGCAGAGGATGAAGGACTCCCCACAGCACATCCAGGCGGGAGAGGGTCTTAGAGAACTGGGGGCCCTCCTCTCCATCCCCAGAGCAGAGAACAGGCCCATGGCAGCGGGTGACTTGCAGAATCACTCACACAGCTGGTACCTAGTGAGGCCACCTCGAATCAGAGCCTCACCTGACCCACACACCTGGCGCCCTTAGAGGGCTTCATGACCACCAGTAAACTCCCTTCTCCTCAGAGGCAGCCCCAGAGTGTGGTGGCCGCTATTTCTATCAGCAAAGATGTCAATTATGTCTCAAATCTTTCTATCAATAAACACAAACATCCTTCTATCTATCTCAATCTTGTCCATCATAGTAGGCGGTTGAGGAGGACTTAGTCAAACACAAGGATGCAAAATCCTAGCCTACTCTTCAATTACTCATATAGGTTGAATATTAGCAGTACTAATATATAACCCAGATGTTACCATTTTTACCCTAATTATTTACTTTATTCTAACAATTACCCTAATTTATGTGCTTATCACAACACAACAATTATGTCTTCCCCATTTACTCAACAAAGCACATGAACCTGTACTTCTTGGCAGTCAAATTGGATTGAATCAGATTTGTAAGTGAAAAAAGCCTTGTTAAAAGTTCTCTCCATCTCTTTCCATGGTTAACCAAAGCCCTGTGCTGCTCCCTCAGTGCACTGTGGATAGGCAGGGAGGTTATTTTGTTTTACTTCCGCAGTGGCCCCATCCCACCCAGAGGCTCCCGGCTTTTCCTGGTGTCCACCCTGGTGGGAGGGAGCCCTCGAGCACAGGGCATTCAGTCCAAACACCCCCAGGTCTACAGGAGCAGCTGCACTCACCAGACCAAGGCTTCCTCCGCCGTCTTCCTCCCCGTGGCTGCCAATGCTTTCAGCCTGCAGAAGAGCGGACACAGGCACAGAGTCACGTAGCCCATTCTTGGGAAAAGGGTCAGAGAGGGGGGGTGTAGCCTTGCACACCCAGGATCTTTGGGATGTGCTCTGAAGAGGGCCTGATGCTGAACTTCCAGCTGGCGCGTGCCCAGGCGCCTGTCCCCTGAGTGTGCCATTGTGGTTTTGGACAATGCTGACCAGCTCACACCTCCCCACCACTTTCCTTCCCTGGCTACCTGCTTCAGCCCTTGGCACGGGGTCTCAGTGCTGAGGACCTGACCTCCGCCTGCTCCTGCAATCCCATTCCCTGGCCTGCCCCTCCCCACTGCCTAGAGCTAATGGACCCACCTTGTGGAAAGTGCCCCCAGCTGGGACACACGCTTCCCTGACAAACGCTTCCTTCGCCCCAGCATCACTTAGCGAAACGGCCCGATCCCCAGGCTCGCCTCCTACACCTCTCCCCCGCTGGGAAACAGCCCTTCCCAAAGCACCCAGGCAGACACTTGTCACAGCTCACACAGTCCCCTTGCGTCCACGGCTCTGCCCTGCTAGACCAAAGCTCCCTGAACGCAGGGCTGAGTCTTATTCATCACGGTAACCTGGGACGTACGTACATTCCATTGAATTGGGTAGAACTGGACCAGATGAAACAGAATGGAATATAGATAAGGTAATTTATCAGGAATGCGTACTGGAAATGGCGGGCATCCATGAGGAGCCCACCACGTGATGCCCAATGCTGCTATTTGGGCGGGTACTGATGGGGCTGTGGCCACCTGGAGAGGTTTGAACAGGGCAGCCTTGGTGCAGGGCCCTTACTTTGAGGTGCTCTGTAAAATCCAGCGTGAACTCCTTCAAAGGCATGGAGACCTGGTTTGAGTCCCACCCCTGCCACTAATGCACTCTCTGGGCCCAGTGTCCTGCCTGCACTGGGTGGCAAGCAGTGGACAAAACCTGCCTTGTCTGTGCTGCCTGGACGGTGCCTGGTGGCCGCCCTGCACACGCCTGACCCCACTCCCCATTCAAAGCCCCCCGACTTAGCTCGAACATAACAGTGACGACAAAGCACTGACTTGGGGAGAAGAAAGGGGTTTATCTAGCTTCAAAGTTACTTCACCCAATTTGGCCAAGCTTTTGTTATAGTGTGGAAGGAAAGTTTAGCTCCTTCCCCAACCCAAAGTTACCAAAAGTGTGTTTCTGATACATTTTTCCATGTGAAAAAATGAATGGGTCGGATCTAGGGCACTGGTTTGCCATGAAAGCTGTAACCCAATGTTGGTATCATGTCCTCCCTCTCCGAGAGTGGTAACTCCGAGGGCTAAGCTCTTCCACATGCAGGCCTTTCCCTTGGGTCAGCAGGGTCACGCTCACACTGTGTCTAGTCTCCTACCCATTTGTTTCGTTATCAGACACTCAGGCGATTCTCCCTGAGGACAAGTGACTTTCCCTGGGCAGTGTGGAAGCACAGCCCTGCTGACAGGTGGTCCTGGTGGTAGAGACGCAGCGGGCTTTGGGGCCTTTCACATTAGAGTTTGAACGTCTTGAAATGCTACCTTCAGAGTCACTGAGCTGCACACAAAGAGGTTACAACCAGGCCCAAGCTCCTCCAGACCCCCAAAATGGAGCACCCGGAGTAATACATGGCTTCTGATTTTCACACATTTCAGGGTCTCCCATTCAGCCAGCAGAGCAGGTCTTTAAAAGGTCAAGAATATCAGAGGTATTCTTTTGCCTCCCTCGGCCACACATAAACTAACACTGATAATACACACACACACTAACACTAATAATAGCTGATGAGCTAAAAAAACAAAACAAAACAAAACTCATAATGTTTTAAGAAAGTTTACCAATTTGTGTTGGGCAGCATTCCAAGCTGTCCTGGGCCACACGTGGTTTGGACAAGCTTGGTCAAGATCACCTCATTTACGAAAAGCAGAGGAGGGCCCTGTGCAGAGGCAGTGTCTCACCCTGCAAGGTGCACTGCTTTGGCAGGAAGCTGTGCCCTCCACCCCTGCAGCTCCATGTGAGGGGCCGCAGCAGGGTCTGGCTCCAGCCCCGCTGGCTGGGCCCCGGGGTCTCTGGGCAGTACTCACGCGGTGTGCACCGGGAAGCCCATGGCCAGGAGGGGCTCCAGGAGCAAGGGGGTGCTGCGGCCCTTGAGCTTGTTGGAGACCTTGGCGTAGAGCTGCGTCTCCCCGGCTGCCATCTCTTCCTGCCTGTGGGCCAAGAAGCTCGCCTGCACACAGAAATGAGGAGATAAAGCAACAGGGGGAGAGGCAAGGCTGAGGCTGCGAAGAAAAACCTCAAGCCCTTTTTGATCTTTCTGACAAAAGTTGATATCCTGTTTGCATGAGATATCGGTTTTCAGAATTCTGTTTGCAGGATGCTGGGTGCAGCGTCCACCAATCCTAACTGTTTCCTCCATGGGGTTCGAGGCTAAAGGTCCAACTGAGCCCCTGCATGGGATCAGCCTCTACAGGGACTTGTCTAGTGTTTGGGAGCAAGAACGCATGAGAGCGTGGGGGAAGGAAGTGGAGGAGAAGTCAGGGAATGAGTTCCCTCCTGGATCCTGCTGGCCCCCTGCCCTGACCCACCCTGGATCCCAGTCTCCTTGTCTGCAAACAAGACATTAAATCCCACTTTATCTATTGTCTCTGCTGGAAAACTTACTGGTTCTTTCAGTCATTCGTTGACTTGTTTTTTTATTTTAAAAACTTTAAAAGCTTAATATGTGTACAGAAAAGTTGATGAATCATATGTGTATAGCTCAAGGAATTTCCATAAATGAACCCACACCCCTAATTCCCCCACGACCCAAAATAAAACAGGGCAACCAGGGGAATTTTGTACCTCTCCCACCTGAGGGGACATTTAGCGATGTCTGGAGACATTTTTGTTTCCAAAATGAGGTGGTGGTGGTGGTGCTGGGTGGGGTGGACATTGCGGTACTGGCACTAGTGGGTAGAGGCCGGAAATGTCACAGTGCCCAGGACAGTCTCCCCAGCAAAATGTCAGTAGTGCCAAGGTGGAGAAAGCCTGCTCTGGAACATTCTCAGAACCTCAGATGCACCTCTGCCCCCAGCCCAGCCTCCTCCAGTTATCTCCTCCCTCCCCCAGAAAGTAAACTGCTATATCGCTTGTACACGAATTGTGCCTGTTGTTGAGCCTCATATAAATAGAACCATATAGCATATTCTCTATCATGTCTAGTTTCTTTTTCCTCAAATTATGCCTGTAAAATTTATCCACATTGTTGCTTGTAGCCACAGTTAGTTCACTGTTACTGCTGTGTAGTATTTGATTAATAAATATACTGGCCAGGTGTGGTGGCTCATGCCTGTAATCCCAGCACTTTGGGAGGCCAAGGGTGGGGGGCGTGGACCACCTGAGGTCAGGAGTTCGAGACCAGCCTGGCCAACATGTTGAAGCCCTGTATCTACTAAAAAATACAAAAATTAGCCAGGCATGGTGGTGCACGCCTGGAATCCCAGCTACTCAGGAGGGTGAGGCAGGAGAATCATTTGAACCCAGGAGGTGGAGGTTGCAGTGAGTGGAGATTGTACCACACTGCACTTCAGCCTGGGACAGAGCGAGACTCCAGCTCAAAAATAAATAAATAAAATAAATATAACATAATTCATTTATCCATTTCTCTGTTGATGTGCATTCAGGAAGTTTTTAGTTGTTTTGCTATTGTAACTAATGTTGCTGAGGACGTTCTTGTATGTGTCTTTGAGTGCCTTGTGCATGCATTTCTGTTAGGTGTGCATCTAGGAGTGGGGTTGTTGGATCATAGAGCATGTGAAACTCCATTAGGAGCTGCTAAGCAGTTGTACAAAGCTCTACATCCTCATTCACACTTAATATTATCAGTCCCTAATTTTAGCCACTCTGTGGCAGGGGTGGTGTGTAGTGGTATCTCCGTGTGGTTTCCATTTGTATTTCCCTGAGGCATAATGATATTGAGCATCATTTCACAGGCTTATTGTCCATTTGAATATCTTCTCTGGGGAAGTTCCTGTTCAGATATTCTGTTCTTTTTTTTTTTTTTTCTCACTAGGTTGTTTGCTTTTTCTTGCCAATTTGTAGGAACTCTGGTTAGTTTTCTTCATCCTGTTCAAGAGATTGTTGTTGATCCAACATTGATGAAGATCACCTATGTTTCGTTCTAGAAGTTTTGCTACTTTTGCTGTTCATATTTAGCTTTATGATCCATTTGAATTCATTCTGTGTATGGTGTGAGGTAGGGGTAAACTTTCATCTACTTCTCTATTGAAATGGCCATCCTTTGCCCAATGAATTGCAGTAGGAGGCTTATTGTAAATCAAGTGACTGCATATGGATTAGTTTTTTCTAACTGTTATGCTCTCTTGTTTGATTTGTCCCTTTTTGTGCCCATTCTACACTGTTTTAATCACTATAGTGCTAAACCCTCTGGTTTTGTCTCTTGCTTTGTCATAAGCATTTAGAAATCAGGTTGCCATGGTGTGTCAGTGTGTCAACTGGGTAGTGCAAAAAGATTCACACCTACAATCAATTGATTTTCAACAAGGATGCCAATGAAATTCAATGGGGGAAAGGATAATGCTTTTGATAAATGGTGCTACAGGCTCATGCCCATAATCTCAGCACTTTGGGAGGCCAAAGTGGGAGGATCACTTGGGCCCAGGAGTTTGGGATCAGCCAGGGCAGTAGAGTGAGACTTCATCTCAAAAAAAAAAAAAAAAAAAAAATATTTTTTAAATGATTTGGAAATCGGGAGAGAGTTTAGTGCTAGAGACTCTTACCATAGATCCAAGAAGTCAAGGCTGCAGTGAGCTGTGATTGCATCACTGCACTCCAGCCTAGATGACAGAATGAGACCCCGTCTCAAGAAAAAAAAAAAAAA